GGCGGCTCCAGCGGCGGCGCCGCGGCGGCGGCGGCCAGCGGCATGGGCGCGCTGCACATCGGCACCGACGGCGGCGGCTCGATCCGCATTCCCTGCGGCTTCACCGGCATCCCCGGCATCAAGCAGAGCTTCGGCCGGGTGCCGGCCTGGCCGCTCAGCCCCTTCGGCACGGTCTCCCACGTCGGCCCCATGGCGCGCACGGTCGGCGACTGCGCCCTGATGCTGACGGTGATGGCCGAGCCGGACTACCGCGACCCCTACGCCCTGCCCTACGACGGCGCCGACTACACCCAGGGGCTGGAGGAGGGGGTGCGCGGCCTGCGCATCGCCTACAGCCCGAGCTTCGGCCCGCACCGGGTCGACCCGGAGATCGCCGCCGCCGTGGCTGGCGCGGCCGAGACCTTCGGCGAGCTGGGCGCGCGGGTCGAGCAGCCCGAGCTGGAGGTGCCCGACACGGCCGAGGCCTTCCAGGTCCTCTGGTTCTCCGGCGCCGCCAACCTGTTCCGCCGCTTCTCGGCGGAGCAGCGGGCGCTGGTCGACCCCGGCCTGCTGGCGGTGGTCGCCCAGGGCGAGCGCTACAGCGCCAACGACATCTTCGACGCCACGGCGGCGCGCGAGCGCTTCACCGTCTGGATGAACCGCCTGCACGAGGACTACGACCTGCTGCTGCTGCCCGGCCTGCCGCTGACCGCCTTCGCGGTCGGCCACGACGTGCCGCCGGGCTCGGGCCTCGCGAACTGGACCGAGTGGACCCCCTACTCCTATCCCTTCAACCTGACCGGTCAGCCGGCCGGCAGCCTGCCCTGCGGGCTGAGCGGCGAGGGCCTGCCCATGGCCGCGCAGATCGTCGGGCCGCGCTTCGCCGACGCCCTGGTGCTGCAGGCCGCGCGGGCCTTCGAGGCGGTGCGTCCGGCCGCCCTGCCGCCGCTGGCGACCGAACCGGTGCCGGCGTGAGTCCGGCGGCCGCATGCCCCCGGGGACGCCATGAGCCCGGGGACGCCATGAGCCCGGTGACGCCATGAGCCTGGGTGGAGCCGTGGCCGCCGGCCACCCGCTGACCGCCGAGGCGGCGCTGGAGGCGCTGGACGCCGGCGGCGGCGCGGCCGACGCCGTGGTCGCGGCCATGGCGGCGGCCTGCGTGGTCGAGCCGGTGCTGGCCTCCCTGGGCGGCGGCGGTTTCCTGCTCTGGGCGCCGGCCGCGGGCACCCCGCGGGTCTACGACTTCTTCGTCGACACGCCGCGCCACCCGAAGCCGGCCGACGCCCTGGACTTCCATGCCGCGGTCTGCGACTTCGGCACCGTCACCCAGAGCTTCCACATCGGCCGCGGCGCGATCGCCACCCCCGGCATGATCCCGGGGCTGGTGCAGATCCAGGGCGACCTCTGCCACCTCTCCCTGGCGCGGCTGCTGCGGCCGGCGATCCGCTTCGCCCGCGAAGGCTTCGTGATTTCCGAGCTGCAGGGCTACGTCTTCAGCATCGTCGAGCCGATCCTGGCCAACAGTTCCGAGCTCGACGCCCTCTACCGCGGCCGCGACGGACGGCGGCTGACCGCCGGCGACCGCCTGTGCCAGCCGGCGCTGGCCGACAGCCTGGAGCTGCTGGCGCACGAGGGCAGCCGCCCCTTCCGCGAGGGGGAGCCGGCGCGCGCCCTGCTGGAGCTGGCCGGCGCGGGCGGTCACCTGGAGGCGGCGGACCTGGCGGCGGCGCGGGTGCTGGTCCGTCAGCCGCTACACCGCCATCATGCCGGCGCCGAGATCCTGACCATGCCGCTGCCCTCCTCCGGCGGCCTGCTGCTGGCCTTCGCCCTGGACCTGGCCGAGCGCCTGGAGGCCGAGGCCTTCGGCAGCCCGGACCACCTGGTCGGCCTCGCCCGGATCATGGCGCTGACCGACCGCGCCCGCCGGGACAGCGGCCTGTCCGACGCGGTGGGCGAGGAGGAGGAAGCCGCCGCCGCCGCGCGGCTGGGCGACCCCGCCCGCCTGCGCGACTATGCCCGGGCCGTCGCCCAGGCACCGCAGGTGGCGCGCGGGACCACCCACATCTCGGTGGTCGACGGCGCGGGCAACCTGGCCGCGGCCAGTCTGTCCAACGGCGAGGGCTGCGGCCATCTGCTGCCGGGCACCGGTATTCACCTCAACAACATGCTGGGCGAGGAGGACCTCAACCCGCGCGGCTTCCACCTCTGGCCGCCGGGCACGCGCATGGGCTCGATGATGGCGCCAACCGCCGCGCGGCTGGCCGACGGCAAGCGGATCGCGCTCGGCTCCGGCGGCTCCAACCGGCTGCGCGGCGCGATCCTGCAGGTGCTGCTCAACCTGACCGACTTCCACATGCCGTTGAGCGCGGCCGTCGCCGCGCCGCGTCTGCACGTCGAGAACGGCCTGGCCCAGGCCGAGCCCGGCGTGTCGCCGGCCGCCCTCGACGCCCTGGAGGCAGAGGTGCGCCGGGTCCAGCTCTGGCAGGCCCCCAACCTTTACTTCGGCGGCGTCCACGCGGTCTCGCGCGGCACCGACGGCTGGCTCGAGGCCGTGGGCGACGCCCGGCGCGGCGGCGTCGGCGAGGTCGCCGCCCGCCCCGAGGCGGAAGACCGGTGACGCCGCACCGCACCACCTTCCAGGTCCGCGTCTACGAGGCCGGCCCCGGCGGCGAGGCCGGGCCGCCCGTGCTCGCCAACTATCTGCAGGAGAGCGCGGCGGCGCACGCCGAGCGGCTGGGCGTCGGGGCCGCGCCGATGGCGGCCGAAGGCCTGGCCTGGGTGCTGACCCGGCTGAAGCTGGCCCTGTCGCGGCCGCCGCGCCTGGGCGAGACCGTCGCGGTCGAGACCTGGCCGGCGGCGCTGGACCGGCGCTTCGCCCTGCGCGCCTGGCGTCTGAGCGATGCCGCGGGCGCCCCCCTGGCCGACGCGATCGCCCATTGGGCCGCCTTCGACCCGACGCGCCGGCGGCTGGCGCCGCTGCCGCAGTGGATCGCCGCGCGGGTGACGCCGGGCACGCCGCCGCCGCTGACCTTTGCCTCGCGCAGCCTGCCGGGGCCTGGCGCGGGCGCGGCGGAGGTCCTCCTCAGGCCCCGCCGGGCCGAGCTGGACGTCAACGGCCATGTCAACAATGCCCACCTGCTCGGCTGGCTGCTGGAGCCGCTGCCCGCGACGCCGGCCGGGCGGCTGCTGGAGCTCGACGCGGCCTTCCGCAGCGAGTGCCGGGCCGGCGACGAGGTGGTGAGCCGGGCCGCCGCGGCGCCCGACGGAGTCTGGCGCCACGCCCTGTCCCGCACGCGAGACGGCGCGGACCTGGTCCGCGCCGTCAGCCGCTGGGCGTGAGCGAAGCTTGGGGGTGAGCGGGCGCCGCCGCGCGGCGCGCCGCCAGGGTCAGCCGCGACCTAGGCCGCCTCTTCCTTCTTCTTGCTGATGTAGGCCTGGGCGCAGTGGGTCTGGCAGTAGGGCTTGCCGGGCACCGTCGGCTCGCCGCAGAAGTGGAAGCCGGCATCGCCGGGGTCGCCGATCGGCCAGGCGCAGCTCTGGCTGCCGCCGGCGCTGCGCGTCGTACGGGCCTGGCGCGGCCGGCGGGCCATCTCGGCGGCGGCGAAGGGCGAGCGCGACACGGCCTTGCCACTGCCGCCGGCGAGACCGCCGGCCGACCGAGCGCCGTTGGCCGCGCCACTATT